GTAGATGTGCAAACGACTCGTCGATGAAAAAGCAAATTCGCTCTTAGGCTAGCCGTGCGTCCCAAATTCTTTTTTTCCGCTGTCAATCGCAGACCCTACTCGATAATGCCGTGTCAATTAACTTATAACGCAATGTACACCTTTAGTACGAATATCCTTTTTGTGCCCTTACATTAAGAAGATATAAAAAACGACGTAAAAAATATAGAGACTCTTTCCCCATTTCGCACGCTATCGATCCTCTAACGTTACCGTTTTGTTTTTTTTTGTTGTCGCATTTTCATCGTCACACAACGAAACGTGGAAAGGCAAGCATGGGACCGGTGCTTTATACAGATAGAAATTTTCAGTATACGAGATTAGATACGTGTTAATCAAAGACTTTTCTTTCGCGCGCGCATCGGGTCTGCGATTAGGCACGCTAATTCCGTAAATACAGCAATATCCGTGTATTATCTAACGTGATTCGAAGGACATATTTACAGTGCGATTCAGTGTAAACCTTTGGAAGACGCGCGCGAGGGAGAAAGGACGTAATTAACAATTACAATCCTCTGCCACCTCACTCTCGGCTCGTTACGCACGTTCGATTTCATATATACGCGTCCTCGACGGATCCTCTCGCAATTCCTCTCGCGCGCGGCATTCCAATTTACACAATTGCAGCTTATTATAAAACGGTACAGTTATATGCTCGTTATTACATATTGCGAAACTTTCGTCGTGTGATGTACTGTTGTAAATCGATCAGATACCCAGGAGTATGCTGATCTTGTCCGGCGACATGTGTGCCTCGAACCGGGGATCCTTATCAAAAAATACAAATCCGTTTAATATCATTACAGGTTTCGTGCGGTGAAGTATCATCCATTTAGCACACAGTGTCCACAACGCGCCAAATTATATCCGTCACCGTCGAAGTAACGTCGCAGCCCCTTATTATCCTATTACATCGCGCATAAAATCACTTTCACCGTAATCTCCCCGTCGGCATTTTCTCGCGCTAATCATCTGCGCATCTTTAAACGTACGATTTAGTATAGAAAAAGGATTCGTAGGAAAATCGTGGTCCGAAGCTGACATTGGATCCTTTGGTCTCTCGTACAGCAGAATAGTTCGGTCGGGATTGAGAATCTTTTCGGTCAGTATATAAAAATAAGATACAGCGGTCATTGTGCAGTCGTCGGTCGATACCTTTCAGAAAATTATAAATGGCGACAAGCGGCGAAAAATTTGCGTCGATTAATTTTCGTGAAAAACGATATATCTGAAGTAATAAAGATCACTTTGTGATCTCCAACCCAATGCACATAGTCTATCACATTGTGAATCTCGAAAGTAGCGATTTTTTAATTATTGATCGGAAGTATATGCAATAATTCTTTTTCCATTCCTCATTTATCACAGTTCTGCTCGATTGCGATTGAACAAAACGAGACGGGTATTCAATGAATATGTATACTTTCGTTACTGCCAAACGAGTATCTTTCGAAAAGATAACACAAACTATTCCGAAGCCACCAACTTTGTTACGTGTCTTTTGTTATATGCCTCTTGTTATCGCTGCCATAGTACTTTTGTAATAAAATTTACGACATTCATAGTCGGAGAAAGAAAAATCAGTTACAAACTTGTGGAATTTTAAATTTATAAACGATCTACATTCGTAGAGAAGTTTCGGTACAAAAACGTCATTAAATTAAATTAAAATCAAATAAACTTTTGCTCAATTTTTTTTTAAATGTAACTTTTAAAAGAACCGATTACTGAAATACATTTTTTTTTATGTGACCATAATTACACTCTTGTATACGTATGAAGCACAGAAAGTGTAATGAAGGTAAAAATTGTATATTGTATAAGAAATTTATCTATATTTATTTGCACGACATACTTCGGTGAAGAGTATAAATGCAGTGGTAGCAGGCGATTTACAAAGAAAGGATTACCGGTGAGACGCGCAGTAGTAGCGACAATTCCAAGATACTTTTATGCACAAGGCTTGTGTACACAGATACAGATTAGTGTCATCTCCCGTTAACAAAATATACAAACAAAATTGAACAGCCGATCGGCTCCTTGTTGATCACTAATGGTACAGAGACAGCCGTTTCCTTTTTCCCTCATTATTCAAATGTAGAGGATCAGCGAGAACAACCGTGTTGAAAGAACGTATTCGAAAGTTTACACTATTTAGTTATCTCATTTATATTATACACATCTTCATCTGTATTTCCAGGCAATGCTGCTTAAGATCTCTCGGGTATAAGAGCGAAAGATAAATAATTGCCGTTGTACATTTAATGTAAAGTCCATTGACACCACGGGGGGTAATCTCTTGGTAATAATCTTTCTACAACATACAGACTTCCTAGCGGAGTAAACTTTGTAAACGTAAAACTTCAATGTAACAGACTGAGCGTTTGGAACGCCGTGTTAATAAATGGTGTTCTATCTTGCTTATGCTATAAATGGATAACGGAAAAGCATATGAATAATCTAAAATAAAGATATGCGCTTAAGTTATTGCATCTTCAACGTAGCCCCGACGATTTGAGAGAAGCGAGATTGCTGACGGCTTCTGTAATCAACTTCTTTTTTTTTCTTCGATCAATTAAAAGCTTACTCAGTATTTTGATTCAAATATAATATTATGCTCAAAAAAGTGTGGGGGGTATTACATGTCTCCCTTTAGTGTGATAACGTATGGTTTTCCTCTTACCTTTCCTTCGAACATTAATCTTCCGATTATTTGCTATTTACTCGTCTTAGCGCTATAAAAGATTAGAATTTACGTTAAGGACATACAGCCTACCATTACTCAGACATATCAATACTCAAACAAGTGTTTCGTTGCTGTCTAAAAATATCCTTAACTTTCCATGGAGCTTTCTTTTATCCACTAAAAATATCAATAACCATCCTAGTGCCCAATCCTTAGAGATATTCATTAATTACATATATAGTAATTCATTTAATATATATATATATATTATACAAAATATCTCTGCGTCGTTGCAATTGTTTGACAAAAGCATACAAGTAACTTAGCATTACACGCGTTTGATAGGTAATTTTACATTACGGGTTGCCTTCTAGTATCGATAACATATTCCTGTCGCATTTGGCAGTAACGAAAGTATCGGAATTACGTGTAGCACCGATTGTCGCGTTTAAAACTGGATCGATGACACAATAAAAGCTTCCCTTACCATGTCAAACTGAGACAAACGAGCAGATTGAAGTAGGAGACTAATCAAGGTTAGATAGCATATATATATAAGATATCTCTCTCTCTCTTTCTTTCAATTATTCTACCTTATCAAAAAGTATTTATTTCGTTATTTTAGAATAGGAGATAAACATAGTTTTTTTTATCAGTGCAAGAATTTTATGTACACTAAATAACGTATATCTCAAAAGCGAATTTTTTCTGCACACAGTGTGATGAATGCAAAAAGAATTGCAGATATCCTATCAATGATAAATATATTATAAAGAATTTAGATGTTTAAAATAGATTTTCGTCGAAAATATATATATATGTATATAATTGTTTACACAATTAATTAAAATGTTGAATATGAATGCTGTTCAGTTATTCATTTTCATACATCACCTTTTACATCGAATTCAACGGTTGTCAGATAACGAGAAAATCATGAAAGCGCGAACGTGCCAACCGTGGACTTTACCGTGATGCAGGTATGAGCGTTTGCATGCGATATGTCGTACCGTCCGTTAGAAAACGCTATAAACATGGAAAAACTTACTTAACTCCAAAAAAATAACCATGTCGCCATTTAACGGTACTTATGCCTTTACAAAGATTATCGCGCACTTTTACGACAAAACTAGGATGACAGCGAGTAAGAAAGACGTTGACGTACCCGCGCGCTCGTACTGAACACTAAAAATACTTTCCTTCCCAAATCTTTACGCATAGACTAAGTCTACGGATACTTAACTCTTTCATTCTCTTCCGCTTTCTCTCTCATTTCTTATCGTACGTTCATATCTTTCGTTTACTTATATATCACGTCGTTTAGCTGGTAATACATTGATTTCATTATCGTTGTTAGGCATATAGAAATTAAATAATGAGTAGCGTTGCTCGTGGGAGTTTCGGCTGTACGAGGCCAGGGAGAGAACAGGCTCACGAGAAATTATCACTAGCTGGTTCCATTTTCATTTTCTTCTGCGGGGAAGTCACTTGCGAGCGTAGGTCTGTGTTGGCGGGTCTCTTCGCTTGCGGATTACTTTTCACTGCGGTAGTTGGATCTGCTAATAATAAAGTGTTTGTTCAGGTGTGTCGCTTGAGAGGGAAATCATTTTAAATCGGACAAATCGCGCGACTCACCTTGCAACCACCTGACTTGAGTGGCTGGTCCGTATCCCTTGTCGTTTCGTGCTGCTATTCTAAAGATTATGGCCGGTTTCGTAGTGGTGTCCACGTGAGCGGCGTTAAGGGCACTATTGTTCACCGAACAAGAATTACTCGAACCGCAATAAACTCTAATAAAAGCTAACTGATTTGGACTCGACACAACTGTTTTTGGTTCTCCGTCATTGTTCACCGCGGTACTACGCACTGCCAGATAGACGGAATACTCGAGAATGGGCCCAACGTTGCTAGGCGGCGGTTCCCAAGAGATTTGTGCGCCGTCCACGGATTTTGATATCTTTATAGCGCTCGGTGCACCCGGGTATCCCGGAAGACACGTCTTGAATGCCGCTACCTACAACGAAAGCGAGTATTACATAATCGGGCCTGTACATTTGTTCCTTCGTCGGCTGAGAAGAACGTCTTTATGCTAAATAATATCGCGAGATATGGAATTGGATTTGTTACCTCGCTCCAGGCACTTCGTCCACAACTATTCACAGCGGAAACTCTAAACTTGTAGGCAGTACCGGGTTCTAACGCTACTTTAGCTCGTCCTTTAAAAACATCCATTGTCAAAGATTGCGTTATATCTAATGGCTCATCACCAGGAAGATAATAATGTTGAACAGTAAAACTAGTTCCCTTTATCACTCCCACATCGTACCACTCTGCCTCTTTCTTCTCCTCTTCGCTCTGTAAAAATATCAGCCGATAACAATATTTGTATTTTATTTGACGCAACAGTAGACGATCGAAAATATTAATAGAATCTACCTGTTCGTTTTTAACCTTTATCACTGGCTCTGCCGACCCTAAAGCAGCAGTAGCCAACGTTGTCAGCGCTGTAGAATCGTCTCCAGTTTCTGATCTGGCGTCATTGGTTTTGTCCTGTTTCTGATTTTCTCTCTTTTGAACAGCGAGGTCGTCTTTTATCTCCATTTTTACGGGAGTATGTATTTTCTCCATTTCTTTCTCGAGAGGTGCGGCAACACCATTGATCGAGGACACGGGCAAATCGGGCAACTTGTCCTGTTCCGCAGGTTCGTCGTTCGTTGACTCCAATTTCATTGGGAGGCTCGGTGTAACAGCAGGGGCCGTTACGTTGTCTGTCGGGGTCGATGTACTGTCATCGGCGATTATCGGTTCATCGGTGCTTGATTTTGCAGGAGAACTCTCGGTTGGAAGATCAGTTTCTAGTTCCGCGATTTCATCTTTAATCTTTTCAATTTTCTGAGTATCCTCTTCGGGAGGCTGCGACGCATCCTTATCCTCGGTAAGAAAGTCTTCCAAAGCTGGCGGCTTTTCTTTCTCAGGAGACGATTGATTCTTTACATTTTTTACTTCTAAGCTGCCCTCATCTTGCTGAGTTCCGTCGACTTCCATTGCCGGATTCGCGGCGTCCGCTGGAGGCGTCTGTTCAGAACCCTCCGCAGACGGTTGTTCTGAAGGAGATTCGGATTTTACTTTTACGTCATTGACTATTGGATCCGTTTCCTTTTCACTTGGTAACTCTGCATCGTTATCGTCAGTTTTCTTCGATACTTTGTCCTCGACTGGTGGATTATCAACATCTGCAGCTTTCTTGGTTTGACTGGTGGTGCTCGATTCGGGAAGCTCGGCTGTCGTCGCTTCGTCGCTCTTTATGTCAATCTCCTCTTTTACCACAATCGATACATTCGCCTCAATATTTTCAGATGCACTAACGTTTTGTTCCGTCGTCGCAGATTCATTGCCGGCCGATTCGGCGGCATTTCCTGAAGCTGGTTCCTCATCTACGTCCATTTTTTCTTCACCTTCCAGTAACAGATCGTCTATCGGACCGTCTACTTGCGGTAGTACAAAGTTTCCATCGCCGTCCACTTGCATCGGTTCTCCTGCACCTATTTGAGAAACTAAGGTAGCCGCTGTAGTCGCCTCGTTACCATTACAGCTATCTTCCATTTTATCGTCGCCGCCAGTACCGTCATCCGTAGCCACCATGAATGATAAACTACCAGACGGTTCCTGGACCGGATCTATCAGACCAGCCTCTGCCGCCAATGCGGCTAACGCAGCGTCAGTAGTGGCAGGACCGTCGGAAGTAGACGCTGAAATGTTTTACCGCGTTAGTTAACGTGGCAACTGACTTTCGTCATTCTATTATACATCAAAACACAACTTTACCCACCTAGGGAGGCTGAAGGTTGCTTCTGCGAAGAAACAAACAGCATTTTGCTAGCGTCTATTGAATCTGACGCGCTAGTAGTCACTATGGAACTGCTACTGGTCGGCAAAAGGGTCACCGTCTTTGCACTTATACCCGCGGGCATTTGCAAAGTCACTGGCTTTCCAGATACCGCTACCGCTTCCTACAAACCAAGTTTTAACAATTTTAATTTGTGTCTTGGGGGAGAAAAAAAGTAAAAGTGTTTTTTTGTTATACACTTACAGGCGTCTTTTGTATCTGCGGCACAGTAACAAGCTGATTCTTGCCAGTATTGAAGATGGCCTGCGTACCGCTCTTTGCAGCAATAGTCACGGTCTTTGGTACACCGCCTTGCCCCGGGACTGTGATGGTCAAAGGCTTGCCAGCGGTTCCGCCCGAAGAAATAGCCCCAGAGGAAACAACGATCATCTTGACACCCTGCTGATTCGTGACGTGGTTCGTAGCCGACAACGGCAGGACATTTACGGGAGTGCCGACAGTAGCCCCTTGCCCTGCACCAGCTTGCGATGTTGTTACAGCTTGCACGGCTCTCAGACCAGAGCCTGTGGTGACAACGATGTATTGATTGGTCCTTCCAACCAATCCGCTGTTTCCCGGTGGCTTAGCGAGCATTATGGTCTGCTTGCCCGTAATGTTCTGCCCTTTGCTCATCGTCACGATGTTGGACGTCTTCATGGTCGTGAGGATTTTCGACCCAGCAACCGTGTTAGGATTCACCAGTCGCAGTATTGTCGGGCCCTGGTTGAGAGGCTTCGCGCCGGTTGCCTGGACGCTTTTGCTGGGAATAATGCTCACCTTGGGCACTGCGGCCACCATGCCTTGTCCAGTCTTCAGAAGATGCAAGAACTGTGGCTGACCGGGTATATTTTGGCCAGGCTTTTGCAGTATGATCTGCTTGTTCGGCTGCGGCGAGGCGGTGCGCAACACTGTGGCGCCGGGCGTGGTGAAACGTATCTGCTGACCTGGCTGAACGTTCTTCATTCTGATGGTGTTGGTAGCGGTTGCAGCCGCGGTCTGTGGCACGATCGAGACATTGTTCATGGTGATCTTCGGGGTGGCCGCCGCCGCCGCGGCCAAAGCCGCAATTCCAGACATGGCAGCGGGCGTCTGACCGGCCACAGTTGTAGTCGTAGTAGTGGCAGTCGCAGTCTGCTCGGTGGTGACAACTGTAACCGTCGCTGTAGCCACTGCTGTCGTGGTGGTGACCAGAGGAGACCGGATGCGTATAACGTTGCCGGTCGCGACTCTCGGGGTCATAGGACTCGTCGGCTTCTGCACCGCCTGCGACGGCACTGGCTTCTGCACGGGACTCGCACTTTGGACTCGCAACGGAGTTGCCACAGCTGTCGCTACAGATGTTCTGGCAGCGGCGGCGGCGACGGTGGCCGCGGCAACAGGCGGTGTAGTCGGAGGAAGAGCAGCGACAGTAGTCACAGGCGGAGACGTGATAGGTACAGTCGTAGGGGATGTCACCATCGCAGAGGTTGTTACCGCGACCGGAGTACTGACGATGGGTGTAGTCGGCGTCGGTACGCTCGCTGTGGAGAAGGTGCCGGTCGCCGCCACCGGCGGCATGTCGTACTTCTGTATTTGAAGGACATAATATTGCGCGGACGGGCTCGCAGTCCAGCTGACTTCCAACGTTTGCGTGGAAGCCCGAACTAACTGAACTCTGGAAGGTGCCGCTGGCTTGCTGACTTCGAGGTACCACAGGTCCTTGCAACACACCTAAAGCGGAAGAAGAAGCACGGTGTTAGCGCGACATTTCGTCCAATCGAGAGCCATGCCACTGCAACTAACTCTGACCTGGTTGTTCCAAGCTTTGCGATAGCCATCTCTGCCGGACCAGACGTAGAGTCTACTGTGTACTCCAACCGCACAATGACCAGCACGAGCACGAGGAACATTCTCTTCCAAGGAGTCAACGGTAAGTTGCTCCCAGGTTAAAGTTTCTAAAATAATAACATTCGATTGTAATGGCACTTCTTGGAAGAACAACTCACTAAAGTTTGACCAAATTGACGATTAAAATTAGCAGCGATATTTGAACGAGTCTACATACTAATCGCGTGTACAGACTTTAATTTTTTTTTAACCGTATAATATTAATAGCGAAACCTTGTTATCTCGTTGTTGATGGAATCTTAGCAATACGAGAACGACTTTTGTTTGTGTAGCATCACCGAAGGGAGAAGAATCATCAACTTACCTAGATTCAGGCAGGCTAGCGTGCTCGTGCACTTCCACTCTTTCTCGTGTGTCGCGACCTTGACGTCATCGACGACCAATGGCACCCACCCTCCGAAAACATACATTCGATGACCGATTAAAGTGGCAGTATGAAGCGATCGGGGTAAAGGGGTGGGTCCGTGCACCACCGGCTTGTTCCAGGTCATCGAGTCGACGTCGAGGAACCACAGATCACCTAGACGGCAACCGCTCATGCCACCATAGATCACCAGCCAGGATTTGCCCGTGGTACGATCGGTGTACGCCACTCCGGTGTGGGATTCCCTGGGAGGTGGCGCGTGTCCGTGCGTTAGCGGCACGTCCCAGGCTGTCTGGCCATTAGGAAGGAGCTCGAGCGTGTACAGATCGTTCAAATATCTCGGTATGTTGCTCTTCGGGTCGTCACTCTCGTTCGCCAGGCCCCCGAAAAGGAAGACCCTGTTGCCAATCAGGGTGAAACTGTGCCCCAACCGCGGGCACGGCGGCGGATCGTGCTTGGGTGGCTTCGGCCTCAGGCGCTTCCATTCCCACCGGCTCGCTTGCAATTCGTACAGCTCGTTAGAATACTTGCCGTACTCCACCATTCCACCAAAGACAAAGATACGCGTGCCGTCGACCACGAAGCCATACGCTGCGCAACCCGGCGGAATGTCTCCCTTCGTAGATGGCACGAACCATTGGTTTGTCGCTGCAAAGATGTTATCTCACGTAAGTGACTTGATGGAAGAGCGGATTGCGAATATTTACACGCGTGCGTTACACTTTTCTCGCTCGCGTAAATATTTCAAGACGATGCAACGCGCAAAAGTGCCTCTTTCGTTTCAGCTGTTGGACATAAATGTACCATAAGCGTATAAAAACTATGTAAAAGACAATACACGATTCGTTGTACATTGTCATCTAATTTATTTTACATTTTTATATATATGTGATTGCGTAAATATTTTATAAAAATAATTTTTTAAGCTTTTACTCCAATTTCAATAAACTGTATTATATATCAATTTGTACGAATTTATTAAGAAATTTGCGTATGTAAGAAACCTTCGCAACATTATCAAATATTTTGTAAAATAGAGCGTGTGATTCCAGTTTTGGTTAACTAAATTTTGAGAAATTTTCAATATAAAACATACGGCAGTAATCGAGGGAAAAACAGTTGACCAAAATCTTGTACACCAATGCCCACTAATGCCCAGTGGGCATTACTTTATCTTATTTTATCTTTATAGTGTCTCAGCAAGGCCTAATGCCCAAAAAATGCCTAGTAATGCCGCAATCCACAATGCCACCAGGGGTTTCCCCCTCGGCAGTTATCATAGGGTTTGTTTTCTGTTCCTGCACTGGTGAACTAGTGCAGTAAGTTAGAATGAGAAAAAATATGCTTGTCTTACTCCAATTTATTGCACTAGTTCACTAGTGTAGGAACAGAAAACAAGCCTATAGTAAAGCCTTGTGTCCACGATTCTATGGGTCTGTTTTTCATTGCTGCACTCCTGAACTAGTGCACACTGGTGCAATGAGTTGGAATGAGAGGTAATCTATTTGTTTCATTTTAACTTATTGCACTAGTTCAGTAGTGAAGTAATAAAGAACAGGCCTAAAGGCCTATGTCCACGATGCTA